AAGACCTTGATTTTGGCCATTGTGGTATACAAGTGTGTCTTCCTTCACCATAATGATTTGAAGTTTTACAGGTTATAAGTGTGCTAAATGTGTGTAGCATGTCAGGCCTAAATTCTACCTTTCCACTAATTTTCTGAAGACAGTAAATTAGATGACCCTTAGAAGGGAGGAGAGAAGGAAGCAGTTTCCCTAAAGCCTTCAACTGCTAATTACTGAGTAGTGAAAACCTCGAAACTGTGAAAATTACATTCTTGTTTAACTCTGCTCTTCTAGAGGTAGGTCTCTACCCTTGTCTTCCCTGTATTCCTTCAGTTAAGAGTCTCAAATCTAGAATTGACTCTGGCACCAGAGTTCTGAGCTGTGAGAAGAGAATATAGCTAAAAATATATGCTGAGTCATTGGCCTAAGCAAAGGATTTTTGCTTACAAAATCTGCTCCTTTATCTGATTAAAGTATCCAGTAGTAAATTTATTACAATATCTAAAAGTTTTGTCTAAAACCTGACTATTTTTTGGAGCATTAACATAGCACCATAGGTAATACGTTATCTCAGAACAGTATGCCAGGGTGTGAAGGTGGAGGAGAGGTAGATCTCTGCAGAGTTTTTACTGTGTTACTGTATGTCAAACCATATTTGCATTGAACTGAAGGTGAGGGGTTTCTTTTTTAAATGGCACAGTACATTTAACAGGTCTCAAAAAAAGCAGTCTTGTTCTGCATTCAGATCCTGTCCGTATAGTTCTGCACTCTCCTTTGCATTTTTTTTGACTCTGGTGCTTGTACAACCCTTTAGTGAACCAGTGCCATTCAGTGAATGGGTAAAAATGTAAACAGATGTTGTCGTCTTTGCTTTTAAATGTGTATCTACAGCTTCTAATAATGTGTGAAAACAGGAAACTGTCTCAGCTAGGATTTTTTCCTCTGAGTTGACATAAGGTATATCAAATTCAGAACATACTATAAGGGCTGCCTTCACCAAAAAAACACCCCAGTATGTTTTCACAAGTGTGTGGACATCTCAAGAAAAACTTCTGTTCCTTTACACTTTGAGTTATTTTTCTTTGCCCTTTCCCCATTTATTAGCTGGTCTAATAAGAGCCGCTACTTTTATCTAGAAGCTTTGCTTTGAGGTGTCAGGCTCATTTCATTGCTGCTCCAACATCTTTCTAATCTGCTCACACAACTGTTGTCAAAGTTGATGTTTTGAACAAATCAGGTCACTAGATCTTGACTGAGGCTTTCACTCAGTTTGAGTGAAACCCCCTCCTGTAACAGGGTAAGAACACTCTCTGGGATTTAGAAATGAAAAGTCCAGGTGCCATTGTCTGCTCTGCTGGAAGTGATCTCCCCAGCAGAAGCAGTTATTCCCCTTTTGCTACACCTAGTAGATCAGAGATCAGCAATAGCACCAGCAATAGCACACCAGAGATCAGCAATAGCAGCGTACAGCACAAGAATGGGCAGCGTGTGTTGAGTCAGTGTTGATCAAAGCATTCGATCAGTTGAGTGCAAAGCATCTCCATTTTCCCAATGGGATCCAGAGGACAGATGAGTTTTCCCTTTATTAATAGGAAAGAATAATAGAGCAGTGCTGATTATGGCAGCACAAAACAGTATGGTGAAGAACATTGCTGTGTGTGGCTTTGTGTATTGTTTCGGGGAAATAGCAGAAGCTGGTAAATAAGCATTATAATGATCTCTGAGTCTCCTTTACTAATTTCTTAAAGATGGCCGTGCTTAAAGATCTTGAATTTTGCCTTTGTCAGTCAGATGGCACTATTCTGGAAGCCAAGAATTTTCTAAAATGTACCATGGTGGTTACATTAAATGGGTGAACAAAATTCTTATCTTTAAAGGGAAGAAAGCATTTTCATTTCTTTCAATTTTTTTTGCAGTATATTTTCTGAATTTGACTGAAATATGCAGCTATGGATCTCCAGTGGAGAAAAGGATGAAAGTGCAGATACAGGATTGATTTTTTTGCATGTATAAAATGGCTTAAAACTAATAAATCAGGTACAAACATCAGCATTTCTTATATACGTACACTATAGTCCTTTAATTACTGATCTTTTAAAATATTTCAAAAATGATATGTGGGTATTAACTCATTATTTTGGAATATTGGTTTGCAAGACTTTAGATTCTAAACCTTGAATTTTGAGTTTCGCTGAAGGCCAGCAAACCACCATGTTTAAACTTGCATGTTGGGAGTGTAGGTCACCTATTTAAATTTAGAAGAGATATTTACAGATAAGTAAGACTTTTTAACCCTCAAGTTTATGGATCCTTTTTGCAAAGAGGAGATGATTTTCCCTGTTTTGTTAGTACTACCTATGTCAAGCAATAAGTGGCTAATATGCAAAATAAAAACTTTATAATGCAAACCCCACAGGGATTCCTGTTGTCTGTGCTGGAAATTGTTCTTTTTGCAGAGAGATCTGCTGGTAAAAATCCTAACTTATTTCATACAGTGTTGTATGTGTCTTAGAAACTAAGTGCCAGTGTGAAATTTTGTGGTAGGTTGGGAAGGGCAATACTGTTGTTACTGTTGTTACTGTGCTTATTTTGTTTAGGATTGCACACAGCTATTGCCTGAATAATTGTGGCAGTTTGAAATACTAGTGAATAATCTTATAAACCAGTTCTTATAAACCAGTTCCACTTTTCTGTTGTTCTTTCAGGGTTTGTGTATTTCAAATGAAGTTACTTTCAAAATTTGTTTAATGTTTCCTGTTTTCTGTCAGCTTTTTTTTTACCACTTCCTTCCCACTTACCGTCCTTTACACTGTGTTTAGTGTGAGGAGTGAAAAATAATTGTGTGTTATAGCTGAGTTCAGGCAACCCTGTGCTGGTTTAAATGGAGCGTTCAAGTTCTGTGTGTTCACACTATCAACATTGGTTTAGTTACTGCTGTGCTGTCATGCTTTCATTTTCTCAAACACCTACAACATGCTGCTACATGGACTCTCCTAAAATACTTCATGCTGAAAGGATACGTGAAGCATTTTATTATGGGGGGAGTATCAACCAGATACAAAAACCCACAACCACCCCAAAATGGATTTTAGGTGAAGTTAAAAGTCTAGGAAGGACATTGATAGCCAAAAGATGGCTGTTAACAGAAATGCATGAATTCATACGTTTTATGTGCTCGCAAAAAATGAGTTCTTACAATCTGTTGTGTCGTGAGTGAGAGATAATGCACCAAAACTTTTTGGTCACTTTAAAACTAAACAGTAGGAGAAAGATGTAAGTGGCTTTACAAAATTGAAGGCAAACCTCCTAGGTGAAATTACCTCTCTGTCTTGTGAGGCTTTTTTAAATTCTGTATTCCAGAACACTCAGCTTTCTGGCACCAGGCTATCAAAGTATTAACACACTTACTGAATCTTAAACATGTGAGTAGTCATGTTGAATTTGCAGGTATATGTGATAGGGTGTACTGGCCTCAAAATGCTCAGTACCTACAGGATTGAGGCCCTAGTAAACATAACAGAAATCAAGTAATTGCCTGACTTAATAGCATACACTTACTACAAATTAGAGCTCTAAAGAAAATTACCATGTAGTGTTTCTGTTCCTCTGTCAGCTAAACCATATGAAGAATGGGTTGTATCTAGCAAAATGAGTAATTGTTCTAGGGATGAATGCGTGTGATTTACATAATATTAAATAAAATTGTAGCCATCCTTCAGCTTTAAATGGATGTCAGGTATTTTGAGTAGGCCACAGAAAGCAAGATGCAGTTGGATAGGTAACTTAGTTTGTGATTCCCTCTTGCAAACTCTTCCAGGAGAGGGCTGGTGTGCTCTGCTTCGTACGACCACTGCAAGCTGCTCTCCCCTCTTTCCTCATTTCTCTCAGTTCAGCTGTTTGGTTTTACTGGGTACAGATCTGTGAAATGCTAGGGTGTAGGACCTGACATTGCCACTGAAATTTCTGGAGCATGGAGTTGTAGTTGCAGATTAACAGTATGGTGTTTTCTCTAAGCGTATATTGCAGTTATTTATTTAGTTTCATGCAACATGAAATATTTCTGAATATTTAAGCTTCGTGTATTGAATGCAGTGAGACTTGTGAAATACGTTCTTCTAGGCAAACTCTTAATAAAGATTTGAACTAAATATTAGCTTTTACAGCAAGCTGGTTTCAACTTACTTTCAGTTGGTTTCAACTGAAGGGCTTCATGCCCAGCAGTGCTGCTTTTTCATCTTTTGGTATGTCATTTCATGGGGGAACAAGAAAGTTGTTAAATGTTTGGTTTGTTCTGTTATTTTACAGAAGCAGGAATTAGAAGGAAGCAAGAAGACTCCCAGAGTGTAGTAGAGATCACTGTTAATTGTTATATTTGAGTGATATTTAGAAAAGAAAAAAAAAACAAACCAACACAAAATGCCCTGCAATCTGTAATAGGATTGGTGTAAGAAGGTAGTTTTACCTAAATGATGTAATTTATTATTTTACCATTAGAAGTAGCAACAAATTTTTTAAAGCAACACTGATGAAGGAAAAACATATCTAGTTCAGTCTCACTGAAGTAATTGACTTCCTTTGTAATTTCTCTACTTCAGAGTAACATGAAAACAAATTTGAGAATGGTTTATGCTAGTCCTTCAAAAAGGAACATGCTTTGAATAAAAATCTCTTTAATCTGTGCCTACCTGTGAAGAAAACGGTAGTGAATTCTTGTCTTCTGAGTGACCAGATTATCTTCAGCTTTATCTAACACTTTTCTGTCAAAGATGTTATGCATCTCAAACCCCTTGCATCCTTGAAGTAATAAATTCTGATTCTCTTTTCCTCTAAAACTATAAAAGCTGTCAAACAATGGAACTACTGTATTTTGTACTTCAGTGGAATTGGATATTCCATAAGTAATCCTTGTAATCAAAGAGTGCAGTAATAACCCCAGTATGCATCTCAAGAATATCTCATGCTTTTGATGGTAATTACTTGTTTCTTCAACAGTTATTTTAAAATGTACTATATATTTACAGATATATGGAGTTTAGGGGTCATCCTCTTCATGTTGGTTTGTGGACAGCCGCCATTTCAAGAAGCAAATGACAGTGAAACTCTGACTATGATAATGGACTGCAAATACACAGTGCCACCTCATGTGTCCAAAGAATGTAAAGAGTAAGTAGAGTACTAAAGAACTTAGAAGCATTCATAGAGGTGGATTCTGATTACCTTTGAGAGTTCCTCATACCATATTATCAGTGTCTAGAATATTCTGTACCTGTTAATAAGATATTACGCCTACTGCTTTTGCTTAGTTGTTAGTATTTCTTCATATCGATTGAGTAGTTTCTTGGTCACCAGTATTGTTTGTTTGTTTGTTTGTTTGTTTTATTCTTTGTGTCTCTTCTTACAAAAGGTTCATCCCATGGTATTTTTGCCAATAGGTTTTTCTCACACTTGTGTGAAACTCACTACTGATTTTACACAATGTATCTTTCTTTCCTGTGCGTCAGTTGTCATGCATTTTACAAATGATTAAAGAAGTTGCTCACCACCAACTGGCTTTGGCCACCACTCTTGCTGAACAAATTACAAGGTGTTGCTCAGAGTATTTTTTGTCAGGGGTTAAAAAAAGTAGTGATTCTACAGATTTCTGTTCAAAATACAAGTTATCAAAACCCAAGGATATCACAGCAAGTTTTGTTCATCTCCCACTGAAACTGCAACTCCAAACCAACATTCTAGGCAATCAAGGGAGAAAAATATTCTGTCTGCAAATGCCATATGCCACTTGGGAATCATGACTCATTTTGATGTGTTGTTTTTCTGCAGGGTTCGCTGCAGCTTTTTTATTTTTTGTATGTTCCAGTATTTCCCTATAGGTTAATGACCTCCTCACTCCTTTTAATACATATCCCAGTTGCATCACTTGGACTATTTTACAGTGTTTGGCTGTGTTCTTGAATCTGCAATAGGGTATCTTTTCATTTTCAATACGAAAGTCCAGATGCCTTTATAAGTGCTTGAAAAATGCTTTTGGTCCTGTCAAAAAAACTAGAGCAGCATCTAGAATTCTGTTAGTTGACACAGAATGAAATTTGTTACAGCTGTGGTCATAGTGACCGTTCCTCTCTTCGCCTGTCATCTGTGTGGTCCAGGAATCTAATGCATAACCTGATGCCGTAGCTGGTTTGCGTGTCTTGTCGTTAGTGTCTAGCATTTCCAGTAACATGGAAAAGCTGCCATCAGTGCTTTCAACAGCTTGAAGAGCTTTACACACAGGAAGAGGTATAAATACAATACAGGAAGAGGTTTAAAAGAGAGCTCTTATCAGGGCATCTTATCAAATAAATCTTGATGCTGCATGCTGTGCTGAGGCCAAGAATCTTCTTTTTTTGCAGCTTTTTGCTTGGTATATTGGCTAACGGTAATTTGCATAAAGGCCCAAGTAGATCTGCGCTCTCTATGCAATGCATCAACAGGGTACGCTCAGTGACCCAAGTCCTCTGTAGGCTGGGTGGTCTTAGGGAGAAGACTCTGGGAACGTTTCAGCTCTGCTTGGAGTGGAAGTGTTCCTGGTGGTTCGCAGAAGCCAGCTTAAAGCAGGAGGCACATGTGGTACATTTGTGTGGTTTTACTACAGGTGTGGTTTAAAAAGTCAGATGAGGTATATAGTTTGTTCCCTTTCTGTCATAATATTAACAAAAGCAAAGGAAATCAAGGCTCCCATGTCTTGCCCCGCCTTTCCTTTTGGTAAAGGCAGAGGCCACAGCTACTAAATATATATGTAACATTCTTTTTTTACAGTTGAGTTTTAAGAAGTCTGAATTAACCTCCATTTTTAATTCCATACATCATCTCACATTAAAAAAAAAAAAAAGAAACTGATTACCTTTGTGATTTGTGTGGCGTTGCAGTCTGAAGTTGCATGGTATAGTATAGTTAGTGCAATAAAAAAAATTGTGAGGACCACAGAACTTTCATTCCACATATTGGAGCAATAAAGTTTCACTGAAACCTTGGCAACAAAACTGTATATCCATGTTCTGTTTGTTGTGCAAAGCCAAAAATACATCCCTCAAAATTTTTTTGCATACAATAAGTGAACAAAGATGTGCTATGCTAATCAAGTTGTGTCTCTCTGTTTATTTGGAGAATTTATGCCCTTCCTTTTCAGCACTTGTAAACCCTCAGTATCAACCCATTAGCAGGTTTGTCACTTCATCATCCCAGATAGTGTTTTGTTTGGGTTTTTTTTTCTCTATGGATAGAACAGGTCGCTGTTCTTTCAGGGATGCTGAAGAATCCAAATGTCTGATAGCTATTGCAGAATAAAATATTTCTACTTATCTTGCTGTTCCATATTCTTGTTGACAGCATCAATAATAGAAAATTATATTTCTCTTATTTTACAGACCAGCCTGTAGGCCATCTGTGACAGTTGCCCTATAAGACCTACTAAAACCAAACCAACCAGAAAAATCAGGTTAAGAATCTAAGCATAGTAAATGAAAACTACAGTGTTCATGATATTTATAGTTTTCAGTAAGTAAATGGATTGTTTCAGTTTAGCAGTATTTGGAATGTCTTTGAGAGTAATTCATTTCCCATCACATTGTTTAGAGACTTCTACAGATCTATGTGGACTCACAGCAGGAAATTTCTTTGTAATGCAGCTCTTACAATGGCTGCTTCTTAAACATGCGAGTGCATTTTGTTTAGATTTATTTTTTATTCACAGTCTAATTACACGGATGTTGCAGAGAGACCCGAAGCGAAGGGCATCTTTGGAAGAGATTGAAAACCATGCATGGCTCCAAGGAGTTGACCCATCTCCTGCAACAAAGTACAATATTCCTCTTGTGTCATATAAAAACCTGTCTGAGGAGGAACACAACAGTATCATCCAACGCATGGTTCTTGGTGATATAGCAGACCGAGATACAATAGTGGAGTAAGTTGTCAGTTTTCTATATATGGTTTGTTTTGTGCATCTGTCAGTTTTGATTAAAGAATGTCATAAGTCCAGTGTTTAAATATCAAGGCATTCAGTTAATAAACAAAATATTGCAATCTTGCTCTGTGATAGGGTATTCTAGGATGAGAAATACTTAAGCAGATGCAACCGTAGGAAAAACTTCAAGAAAATGTGTTGGAACAGTGTGTAATTCTTGTGGTAGTTTGCCATCTTGAGTAAACTTAATGGCTTTGAAATCCATGCTTTACTTGTGCTTTGTATCTCATGGATATTTGGAGTTGATAAAATGTGATCATTTTTCCCGTAGTACATTTCCAGTATACCTAAATCTTTGTTAATTAAAAATATTATTCCTTTTGTCTATGTAAAGCAAAATAGTCATTGTCACTGAGTGAGCTTGCTAGAAAGCTATGTAGTTTTTTCCTAAATAGATCAACCCCCCCAAATTTCTAAAATATTCCCAAAACTGAAAGAGGACTTAAAATTGCTTTTTCTATTTGTGCTTAATCTGGAAAAACTGTTACTGCCTTACCATTTGGAGGGTGGGGTGGGGGCGGGGAAGCAGCAGTCTTGCTTCTTAAGCCTTTAGCTGTGTAACAGTGGCATCCTTTCTGTTAGAATGTCTGAATGATGCTTACTGGCTTCTGAACTTAATTTTACTGTAAACTTAATGTGACAGACCTAAAACAATGAAGCTTTTTCCTCCAGTTGTTCCATATTAATACTTTGTGGTTGTACGTGCCAGTGGTAAAGCCCGCCATTGCTGCGGAACACTAATGAAATACAATTTTATCATTTAAAGAATGTTCATTTTCTTAATTTTTTTTTTGGGGGGGTGATATTCTGAGGATGTCCTCATCCTCAACTGTAGTTGTAATTACTGGACTTGTTGGCTCTTTATTTTTAATAAACCAAGACATGCTTGTCAAAACATCAAAAATACGCAGTTTTGCTTTCAGGCACTCTTCCTGCTATAAGAAGTGCAGCAAGTTGTGCAAGATGCATGTCCAGTTTTTAGAAAACCATTGATGTATGGTTTATTTCATGTTTTGTTATTTCCTTAGGGCACTGGAGACTAACAAATACAATCACATCACTGCTACTTACTTCTTACTAGCTGAAAGGATTCTGCGAGAAAAACAAGAGAAAGAAATTCAGACCAGATCTGCAAGCCCTAGCAACATCAAAGCTCAGTTCAGGTAAGAATTTAGGAATCTAAATTTTTAACCTAGCTTAATGAGACTATTACTGAATAGCTCAAGTAATTATTTTTTTAAAAACAGTAAAATACATATTCATTGCACATTTTAAATGGCTTTAAAGTGCTGTGGATGCTTCAGAAGGTGTTCAGAAATCGGTTACCAATAATATTTTCAATTCCTACTGTTTTCAGGAGATTTCTAAACCATTTGAATGAATTCTGTATTTGAAGTAGTAAGTTTTCACACCTCCTAGGAAAGGGCATATTCATTGCCCTTCAGTTCCTCACACAAATTGTGTATGTAATATCCCTGGAAAAAAATGAGTTGCATAATCCATGAACATGTTGATGTGGAATTACTTATAAATGAGAAATCACTCTGAACTTGATGTTACGGTTTAGCTTTGATTTTTTTAATGGGCCGAACATCCCCTAAATCAAGTTTAGAGCAAACATCTGCAGGTTATGTTCTTTTTAATATTGGTTGATACGTTGTCTAAGGAAAACTGTTGAATTAATGTCTTTAATCACCAATTTAAAGATACTGCGATAGATTTACTTTTTAGTTTGACAAAAACATGATTAAAAAAACTTATAGCAATGTTCCCTGAGACTTCTCAAAGCTTCATCTTGTGACACAGTAAAACTAAAGAGGGAAGCGGGGTTCTGGCATCTAGTTGGTATTGATATGTTCAACCAGCCCGTTTGCTCTGCAGCCAGTTAGCAAAGATCCCATACGTCCAGTTACAGCAGCATATGCTTTAAAAACAAACAAACGAACAAAACAAACACAAGGCGAATAGTATAGTTTGTACCTGCACATTGATATTGGAGGACATATGTTTTGAACAGTTATTTCTCTTAAATATTTTGGTTTTAGTTTCCTGAGTTAAGTGTTAGACTATGACTTGGGGATCTGCTGTTATTAAAAAAATATTTTTCTTGGCCCATCTTGACAAGCCTATGGGTGAAGGTGGAGGTTATGCTGAGGCATTTCCAATAATTTTTGTTCTCTAACCTCCAGTCTCCTCAAAAGTTGCCTTTTAGATTTTGATAAAATATTATTGGTAACTATTATTAGCAATAATAACAATTGTTAGTAGCTAATCTCTTAATGAGACAAGAATATTAATTGCTTGTGCTGATGTTTAGAATTGCTGTTCTACCTTCATTGTTAATCTGTCTGTAGGATTTAGAGAAAAAGACAAAATAGCTTGTTCATTCTGAAGGTTTCTTTGTGCACCTGTCACGCAAGGTCACATGTGCAGTCATTTAATAGGCATGATAACAGGGACATGAATGAATGCTATGGTGTCCTTCTGGTGTGTATGCGTATTTTCCTTGGCCTAATTGATAAAAGATGGATACTAGTACCTCGAGTTCAATCTAGAGAAAATAGACACTTGTTACAACCTAGTGGCGTGCACTTTGGAAAGCTGGTTAAAGATACGTCGCCTCCGTCGGTTGTTACCTTGGATTTAGGCTGAGATTTTGCAGGCTTTTAGAGGAGTCTTTTTCTGAATACCGTTCTGTCTGCCTGAGTAACGAGGTGTTTCCTTCCGAACCTGACAGTGGTTCTCAACATCTGTCATCTCCAGAGGAGACTGCACCCTGCGCTGTGTACTAGAGCAGACTGAAATTTTGTTGCTGCACTTAAAAGGTCATTCACTCAGTGTTCACTGACGTGGGGAATGTCCTCTTGTGTTGGGTGGTTACAAGTACTTCAGAAGAGCTATTGTTGCAGGCGGCTAAGGGTTGCTGACAGTACCTAGATGGTCTGGAGCTTGGTATTAGAGCTTACCTCTCTTCACGGGTCTGAACTACTGTAACTTTCACTCTGCCGTTCTCTCTTAATGGATCATCCTCTTATTTTGCATCAATTTCTTTTAAAAAAAGAAATCCAAGCAGAGCATCAAATGTGTCTAAGTATTAGTTATAAAACAAAATACTTTGGAGGAAAACTTTGAGTTTACCTTCAAATGAAAATTCTGAAACTCCAAAGACTGCTTTTAAATGGCTTTGTTGTTTTTTCTCTGCATCAGTGTCACTCTTTCAGTAGAAGAGCTGCTCCAGTTACATGAGGAACTGGAATAAACAAGTTCATTAACTCTAAACCTTGATATAAATTTGTAAAGTTGAACAGAGTAGTTGCAGCCTGCCTTATGAGTATGAATCCTCTTTTCATGACAAGGACATCTCCATAAATAAGCTCAGGAACTCTTGCCTTAATCGTCCCAGGTAGCTATTCCTTGTCTTCGTGATGGTTCTGAACTCAAAGTGTTTATACAGGATGACCACAAAGTAGTGCATGACTTTGATTTTGAGACTTCAAAAAACCCAACAAACCAACACCCAACTTAATTGCAACCTGGAGCTTCTCTTCTGTCCCATTCTGCCCCCCTCCCCCGGCCTACACAGAATAAGGAGGGGGTGGCAGGGAAGGGAGGCAAAGATGGGCTGCTATGAGAAACATACTGTAGTGAGGAGGTTTATTGCCTGGAAACTCCAGTACTGTTAGATACTATATTTACCCTTCATTGTGACAGCCGCAGAACTCTCTTCCTTTTTTTTGCTGACAAACCAGTCTGTTCTTGAAGCATGGTCAATTCTTAAAAGATTTAGATCTTCATTTTCTGTCACTTTTGTAGTTATGTTTCTAATTCATTTAACTCCTATTTGTTAATCACAGACAGTGGTTTGTGTTTAAAATACCCAGCATAGCACAAGTCCTCAGAAAACAAGGTCAGTGGTTCCCAGCGTTTCTGGAGTCAGCTGGGGCCCGAGGGAGGATGCCAGTGTCAAACCAAGGAGGACCACAACCTAGGCTCCCCTCCTCGGCTGGACAGCTTGGGTGGGAGCTGCTGGTTGTGTGGCCTTCCTCCAGGCTGAGCTGCTCGCTGGAGGGAAGCCAATGGGAGGGCACCAGCAGCTCCCAGTGCCCAACGAGACAGGAAGGAGCCCGTGCGGCCCCTCCCGGGGAACGGCCGACAGGGGCTTACGCGGTGTGTGGGCAGCCGGGTCCCACTGCTAGAGGATCCTGGTGGATTTCTGTGTCGCTGCTTTGTTAAGCAAAGCTGAGCTAGTGCTTCAGAGCCTGCAGTTAGGCTTGACGAGTTTAACGTCGGCTTTAACGAAGTGCTGCTCTTCACAGTTGGTACAGTTGGGAAGGCAGCTGTCAGCTGCTGCCTGTGACGAGAGGCATGTCACTCTGCGGGATCCCGTTCTGCCCAGCCGTGGCAGAGGCAGCCTTGAGCGCATGCAGTCCTAGTGCAGGCGCTGCTGTCAACCTGAACACTTAAAAAGAGCACGTTTAGATTAAGGATAGCAAAGGGGTGTCTGAGCTTTCCTCGTTTCTTCAGCTTCACACAGCAGAGATCAGGAAGCTGGAGGATCCATCCACCTTCGTACGCAGGCTGTCCGAGCAGGTGTCTGGGGTCACACTTGGTGTGGAACACTCTGCTTCCTCTCCCGCTTTCCTCCTATGCCTTCCTTCTAAACTGGGCTACGAAGTCACGCAGCCCTTTCTTTTGGCACACCCAAAATACGGGTGGGAATGTCTTGTGCTATCCGTATGCGAACAGTGGTCTCTGCCACAGCTTTTCATGCGGTATGCTGGAGTATTTTAGTTATGTGAAGTTAAATGATTGGGAAACTTTTTAAACACAATTCTGAAAGGTTAGAAAAAATTTCTTGGCGTCTCCAGAAGAAATGTGGGGCTTATGCTGAGTGAAGCAGTTGAAGAGTTGCTCAGTATTGAGGAGTTGGTCTGTAGGTGTTGGTCTTTTGGATGAGGCTTTCAAAATAGAGAGGGAGGAAAGACTGACAGTCCTTGTTCTTAATTTATACTGTGTATATTACAGGAAAATTACAATATATATTAGGATTTCAAGTAAAATACAAATCATTAGATACTAGCTTAGATACTGGAGATAAGATATCAGCTGCTAACTGTAAAATGGATTTACACTCAAGTGTTACTTTCATTCTGATTTGAGCTAATGCTAGTACATAGTCACACACTTTGAACCTGGATTGACAGTTTATTCAAGTGTCATGTTCTTAAGCAGCTCGAGTCCTGAATTTGTGCAGTTGTATTCCAGTTGCTCAGCTAAGGACAAATAAATGTATGATCTCAATTCATGTGTGTTTAAAATTAAAGGGGATTTTGTAGAATAGAGCTTGGTCTGAATGAGACTTACTGAAGATGAGAGAATGTCTCTCTTTACTCAATTTTTCAGTCTCACTCACATTAATTCTAACCTAATTTTTATATTAAGAATACTGGGCGGCGGGGGGGGGGGGAATAACGGAAGCTTCAGATTAAAAGTAGTTTGTAATACTATGTTACTTAAATTGTGCTTGAATCAGCTCGTATCTTCCTCTTAGGTACTACTGGTTCTATACCTGCTTCAGATTAAATAATTGTGTCCCAAAGAAAATAAAGTTTTTTGTTGCTTAATTCATTTTCAGAGAGCAGTGAAATCTTAATATTTCATTTGACAGTAACTGATGTAATTTCTAAACTACGCTTTTGTATATATGATGTTCCTTTCAAATCACAGCATTTCTAAGGGAATGCACGTTCTCTGGGAATGTTTCCTTTTCCTCAGTACTGTTGTTTACAAACATGCCACTCAGCAGGCCAATTTGCGTGGCAGTACATGTGCTTCTCTTGTGCAGATCTTACATTTTCTTTCATGTTTTGAAATGCTCACCATGATCTAACTTTTCTTTCATCCTTTGTAATTGTTTATGTAGGCAGTCGTGGCCAACAAAAATCGACGTACCCCAGGATCTGGAGGATGACCTTACAGCTTCTCCCCTCTCCCATGCAACTGTTCCTCAGTCACCGGCTCGCACGGCTGAAAACGTTCTCAATGGCCACAGAAGCAAGGCCCTTGGCGACTCGGCTAAGAAAGAAGATATCCCTGAATTAGCCGGGCCGGCGCTTTCGGCAGTCCCTTCGGTGAGCTTGAAACCCACTACCAGTGGGCGGAAGTGCTTGTTCAGAGTAGAAGAGGATGAAGAGGAGGATGAAGAAGATAAGAAACCTATTTCTCTTTCTACTCAAGTTGTCCTGCGCCGTAAGCCTTCAGTTACAAATCGTCTTACTTCAAGAAAGAGCGCACCGGTCCTCAATCAGATCTTTGAGGAGGGCGAGTCCGATGATGAGTTTGACATGGATGAGAACTTACCCCCAAAGCTGAGCAGGTTAAAAATGAACATTGCTTCCCCCAGCACAGTCCATAAACGCTACCACCGGAGGAAAAGCCAGGGGCGGGGCTCCAGCTGCAGTAGCTCAGAAACAAGCGATGACGACTCGGAAAGCCGGAGACGCCTGGACAAAGACAGCGGGTTTACCTACTCCTGGCACAGGCGGGACAGCAGCGAGGGGCCGCCGGGCAGCCAGGGAGATGGCGGCGGGCAGAGCAAACCGAGCAACGGGAACGGGGGGGGAGACAAAACAAGCCCCAGTGACAACAACAAAGGTGGGGGGAGTCCCTCCGGCAGCTCCAGCGGCAGCACCAACAACACTTCGGGTTCCACTCGGAGATGCGCTGGGCCCGGAAACTCGATGCAGCTCTCGTCTCGAAGTGCAGGGGAACTGGTTGAAAGCCTGAAGTTAATGAGCCTTTGCCTAGGTTCACAGATTCACGGCAGCACTAAATACATTATTGATCCTCAAAACAGTCTGTCCTTTTCCAGTGTGAAAGTACAGGAGAAATCCACATGGAAAATGTGTATAAGTTCCAGCGGAAGCGCACACCAGGCTCCATCGCTGGGCAACCTAAAATTTTTTTCTGACCAGATGTCAGACACAGCAAATGAATTGGAACGGATAAAGAACAGGAACTTGAAAAACAATGTGCTACAACTACCTCTCTGTGAAAAGACGATATCTGTGAATATTCAGCGGAACCCAAAGGAGGGGCTGCTGTGTACCTCCAGTCAAACCAGTTGTTGTCATGTCATTTGACGATGACGTGACTTTAATAGCTCGATCTACTTGACAGCATTATTCTTCCTGTTCAGAGCTGTGAACACCTTGTCATGGACCCCCTTTTGTTGTCTTAAGATTTTTAAGTGGGCTTTGAGCAGTTATTTATTACACTTTAATTTTGTGTTTGCTTGATGGTATGACAATGCATGGTCTTTGCATGCTGCTAGCAGATATGTTTTTCTTTTTCAACAAAACAGAATATTTTATTGTGTAATTTTTACATTTATAATTTTACTATGGAAGATCTGGATTAAACTTAAAAAAAATCTGGATCCTAATGTAAAGGAAGCACTTAGAAGTTTCATGTTCTGCACTTAAACTAGAGAGAGGAGCTTTTGTTTGCTTGTGAAATGCTAATTCTTGTTCTGACCTTCTGTGATAACTAAAATATGTGATATGTGGCATACTTCTATGTGTCTGAAACAGAACCAAAGCAATAATGTTTTGATGCTGAAAACTCTTCAGGGAGCTTTCAGATGTTCCAAGGCTTGTACAAAGCAAAGATGCACTGAAAATTAGTGATCTTGAAATATGATTTTAAACCCACACCTATTTGTCTTAAGCTATGATATGGATAAAGTTGTGGCTCAAAAATCAAACTGAAAAGATCTTGTTTTGCTAGAGGCAGTTTTCCTTAAAAAAAAAAAAAAAAGGCAAGTAGATTTGTAAGGCAGCTTTCTCCCATAGAAATATGTTAATATTACAAGCAGACAATCTTCTTTTTTAATATAACAAAGGTAAATTAAGTCTACTTCTGAGTTTTTACATGCTAACTGAAAATAAAGTATTTGTATGAATTACTTTTGTTATTAGTATATCATGACACTTAATATTTTAGGTTTCTACCTTGTAAACCTTCTCCCCTGTCCTCTTCTCCCCTCCCTGAGATTTCAAAAGGCAATAAGGGATGGAAAACCTTTAGGTAATTGGATTAAATGGAAATTGTTATTGTCACTTACATTTTTCTCATTATTACTCTTTTTAAGACTTAAATTACTGCTGTTCCCTATGTATACACCACTTATTTTCCCTCAGTAATCATGCTTTTCCATAAAGTCAATTTAAAATAGCACATAGGAAAGTATTTATTTTGCAGCTCTTGGCCTTTCTGTCGGGTTTCCCTTTGCCATGGCAAGGCCTTGATTTAGAGTATTTCTGTACAAAAGGACACTTTTGACCAGATGAATTAACTTTGTGGAGTTTTATTATCTAGAATAAAATATATTGCAGATTCCTAGTTTTGGGAAGGGCAAGAATGTTTTATTTTTTCATGCTGTGCACTGGGTCTTCTGAGCAATGCTAGTGAAACTGGTGGTGTTATGTAGCAGCGCCCTGGGCGGACGTTGGACGTCTGAGAGGAGTTTACACTGTTGAGCATCTTGTGAGGCTTGCAGAATGGTCAAATACAGCGCATTTCACGCCTGCCGCGGAGGGAGCGGAGCACCAAAGAACGGCGTTACGCTGGGTCGTAAGTTCTACAGCTCGTGACAGCTCTTCTTGGTGAGGGGAGGTCTTTACTGAGAGAGTCTAAATCGCGTGGGGGATTCTCACTGGCTGGCCGAGCCAGGGATTTCTCATTCTGCTTCCTGAGCAAGGCAAAGGAGAAGCGTTTTACTTCTTTAAGTTTTAAACTGTAGCTGCAGTTTAGGTGGCGCGGTATTTATAAATCAAAAGCTACAGGAATAGATGTGTGGGTGAAGCCATAGAACACATTTGCTTGAAATTTTTGAGCAGGGATCTTACCAAGGGCCAGAAATGAGATGTGTGGTTCACAGACAGTGAGCGTAACATCCATGTAGGAGACAAGTTTATAAAGGGCATTGGCAATAAACTTATTTGTTGCAGCTTTTTTCCAAGTATTGTAAATATTCTTTCCTGATACAATGTACAGCCTTGGAATGGCACCTTTTAACTAACCCCAGGTGTATTTTGTTTCCAATGTTTTTATATACAACTGTATATATATGGTGCTCACTTTAGAACAGCAGTGTTGACCATTTATGCTGCATAGTTGTATTATAGCCTTATAGTTGTGTGTGGTTGGTTGGACCCTTGGGTGTACAGATGTTAGTCTGAGTGGTGTCCTTTATCCATGTGTTGGTAGGTGAATGATTGTGCATGTGGTGTATGTTGTATCCTGTCGTCATGTAAAAGGAAGGGCGAGAATAACCACTACATTAAGATAATATTGGACCAAACTATTTAGAGCAAGTAAACAGTTTCTTGTACCCCTTAACGTGTCTTTAAGAGTTGCATATAGTTGCAGTAGTGTATAAATTAAATATTGTGGAAAAACAATTAGTCTTGTATTTTTCTGTATGTGTGTATATAAACATATATAAAAAAAAATGTACCTCTAGCAACTTAACCTGTATTTAAGATGTGACAATCTTGACACAGAATTTTAAGAGTAGCAGTATAAATAAGCAGAATTAATGAACAGAAACCTAAAAATTTCTCACCAAGAAAGAATCCATGTGTGTGTTAAGAGGGTACAGAACTATCAGCTGATCTTATTGCTTCCAGCAATGTTTGGCGCTTTCATTGTATAAACATTCACGGTGTGCGACAGAAATGGAAAATCCCGTTAATAAAAGCGATATCTTGATTGATGCATAACTGATGACTCGCACGTCACTGCGGTTTGTTACTCCCGGTGCTCACAGGGCGGCAGGAGCCCCGGGCCGGGTCCCCGGGCTGCAGCGCTGCTGAGGTCGGACCAGCTGGGGACATGCTTGCTGTGAGAGCTCTGGGCGCTGCTGGCCCCCAACAGCCCTGGCTGAGCAGCGCTGGTCAAGGCCGCAGAGCCACAAAACGGGAACCGGTACAACCATCAGCTCCCTTGCCTTGAGGAAATAAGACTTGGTGTGTGGATGCAGGCTAATTTGCAAACTTCCAGTTATTCTTTTGCTTAGATAAAACTTATTCATTTGGGCTTAAAAGTTGGCTCTGTTGGTATCTGCTAAAAGGGCTTTTTGTTTAAGGGCCGAGGTAGCTGTTCCTGAGGCAGAACTTCACACTGATTTAAATGGTTTAGTAAACTTCCCATGCCCCTGTTCAGCTAGGGAACACGATGATGGTGTAGGGGGGTTGGACAAGGTGACCTTTACAGCCTGTGATTCTACACTACTCTTGTCCAGCTCGTGCCTGGCAGCACTGGAGTGCAGAACATGACAGGTTTCAAAATCTCAGTTAAAATACTCACTCATGAGGTAAGATGAGTCTTACCTCAGCCAGGGGAGGGACGCCTCACCTGCCCCTGCCATAACCCTTGGGGAAAGTGAGGTGTGGATCATGTCAGGGGCAATGAGGGGCTGTACACCAGTTTACCCCATCTGCAGAGTGTAAACTATTGTTTTTAAGGCAAATCTAACCCAGTACTATTATTCTTTGCCATCTAAAATGGGTAATAGTAAGAAAACCACTGTTAGTGTCAGCATGGATGCACAGCAGAGTGAGCAGCGGGGCGTGCTGTCTGTGCACCAGGAGATGGGCACCTTAAGACAAAGCTGTTGTCACCACCGTCACTGATAACCTGCTGTGCCATAACGCGTCATTAGGAGAGTAACGCTGCTTGCTGCTGCGTTCGTTCCCAGGGACTGTGAATTTCAGGTGGGGGAGGGGGTCGCTGTGCCAGCCCCTCCTTCTGGATCACACTCTACCCATTGGCCCCACCAGCATAAGGCACACGGGGCTGCCTGAGGGGCCGGTCTGGTATCTTCCCATGCACGTCACTGGTTTACCCATAGCGATGGCTCTGGTGAGCTGTGGTTGGAGCTGTTCTGCACAACCTGCTCAGGGTCTTCTGTGGTCATGGAACTGCTCATGGAACAGGACCTGTAACCAGCCAGAGAGGGGCTGGGCACAGGGCGTTGGGCACACCGACGGGTTACTGGCGGTCAACAGGCTGCGTAAGGACATGCAGTACGGATTGCTTTACGACTGGCGTGCTGTGCAGCGCTTTGCAGCTGGGACCCTGCCATTGCTGGTGCGCTGCCCAGCGCTGCTCCATGCAAAATGGGGTGGAGGCAGCAGCAGCCAAGGAACACAGGGCTGTGACCATGCCTGAGCCAGGAAAGGTGTGACAAAGCTTGTACAACCCTCCTCTTCGAGACAACAAGGCCAAGCAGTAACGCCTCAGTAGTTGATAAGCACAGGTCAGATTATATTTTTTTTTAATGAGTTTTTCATTAGCAGACAGAGACTTGTGCTAGCCAGTTCTAAAGAAATCCGAGTGCAGATGGCTGGCAATAAACAGGGAACCAGGGGCAAAGTGGAATGTCCCAAACACTAGAGACACCCCAGCCACCCCGACAGCCTTTACCCCCAGTTAAGTTTATGTGGATGAGTCAGAACAATCCGTCTGTTGCTAATTCCAGAGATGACTTGCTTTCAGTAAAAGGTGTTTGAGTAATAATGCCTTGACGTGACTGCACTTGGGAAGGCGTAACAGTGACTCACTTGTTCAGTTGCCCACTGACCGAAGGCAGCGAGGCGCCCTCGCTGAAGTCACGTACGTACGGTGTGCTGAGGGACAGCCGCACCGCCCTTCTCTGGAGGAATGTCTGCGGAGCTGTTCGCACCTGCTCCCTTCTTGAAGCACAGGCACTGGCTTTTTATTTTTTTTTTTAAGCTTAAAATTGTAATCACTTGTAACAAGCTGACTCCATTTGGCCTATCTGTGTGCATTACAAATGACATCAATTTCTAGAAGTCAAGAACCCTCGAATTAGTGACCGAGTGAAGTCTATTATACCAGCGGGAAAAAAAGATGACCTCTACCTACTTTCCCAGATGGTAGAAGAATTATGTCATGTGAACAATGCAAGTATACAGGATACTTCAGAGGACTTGAAAAGCATGGGGTTTTGTAAGAAAGAACTTCTTTAGGCCCTCAGACATGTCATGTCATATCTCCTTAGCAATTAATTTCAGCAAACCCTTGTGTAACATCTTCCTGTTTCTTCCCTCTCACTACTCTCTCTTGAGAAACACCGGGCTGGGGGAGGCAGGAGCGAGGGAGGGAGGGATCCATTTTTTTCTCTCTGGGCTCCCGTGTGCCATGTGCACTGAGGTTGAGTGCCCAAGGCCTGGGAGAGGTTAGTCTCAGCGCTACAGACGCGGGAGCTAGCAGGAAGGGCTGGCGAGCTCTCTTACACCGTGCCCAGGATCGCCCTCATCAAACCAGCGATGACAGGGGCCATCACCACTGTGTTTTACATCGAGCAGTGGGGTGCAGAGGGATCCCTCCTCTCTAAGGGCATCAGTCTTCAGTGCTGCCTAGTGAGTCACCAGGTTGTGCTGTCAGCTCCAGCCAGATGCTGGCACTCACCCCCCAACTCTTGGAGGAGGCATGGGAGAGCACACGGCAGCCATAGCCACGGTTCCCACTGGCTTTGCTTATTTGGATAAGGAAGTAAATGCTCAATCGGTGCAAGTCTTCCTGAATGACATTTGAGATCAGTTCCGTCAGATCAAGGTAGGCTAAAATACCCAGATGGCTTGCCTGCTTACAGAGGAACCTTACCTCATGTAAGGATTCAAGTGTTTTCCTCTACTACTGTCGTCAAGTTCACAGGAGTCGCTGCAGTCTGGCAAGTACAGTAGAGATCTTGAGTCAGCAGCTCCCTCTGGGCCATGCAATTG